CATAAGTAAGAAGTATTTTAAATGCCCATACAACAAATGTCTTCCTAAATTATATTTAGGAAAATCTTTATTTAAGTTCATTCCAAATTGTAATTGAAATTGAAATTCCCCCTAAACCTTGAAAATGAAGTCCTTGTCCTGTCCAACCAATGTTCTTCCCTCTAGTGACACCAGAGGGCCCCAGTGAGTGAAAACTTGGATGCTGGCGGAAGGGTGGGAGAGAATTTCATTACTAATGAAAAAAAGGATGATTTTTCAGTGTGTACCCTTATCTAACATGAAACATTACCATGGTAACAGCACCAGTTAAGATGATTGTATATTTAGGTCATAGTATAAAAGGAGATTACACATATGCCAAAAGAAAGAAGAAATTGAAATAAACTAAATAAAAAATATACAAAGGAGAAGGAGGTAAACCAAATGGAGCCTACCTCATCTTTCATTAGCAACAGTTCACAAAGTCACATTATGCCTTTCAAAGCAAAGGTGGACGACACATTCAGCTTAAAATTAAATGAAACCATTGAAATTCAGCATTTTCAGTGCCAACAATAGGAAAAGAGTTCAGCGTGGCAAAGTGAAGAGATAGTAAGACTAGAAGTTGGCATGTGTGTGTTCTTTACCTAGGTCACTTTAGGAAGTCTGTTTATCCAATTCAACACTTATCATGAGTTCAAGTGGATAATATCAAAACTCCTCTTCACTCCTTGCCTCAGACACCAGAAAATCTCTTTAGTACGATCTCAGAATCATTGACATTTTGGGGCCCATCTCCCGCTGCTAGGCAACCACTGACTACATAGATCAAGCATGTTGTGACGACTGAGAGTCTACTTGGCACTGATTTTTCTTTGCTTAAAGTTTAGGGGATCCAAAGAGAATGTTCAAAGTTGAACTAAACAGAGGGAGAGAACGTCACTGAACTCTGAGTACCACTGTTTTTTGCTTTCTCTAAACATGGGGAAATAAATGATACAACTGTATACAAAATAATCTACCAGTGTTGTTTGAGAGCAAGGACTGGAGTCCAGCAGGGCTACATCCTATGAGCTGTGTGACCTTGTGCCGTTCCTGGGCCTTTCTGTATGCTGACTTCCTTTGTAAAATCCCCAAAGTAATATTTACTTCCTAGGATAGCTGCAATGACAAAAATGGGTTCATCTGCTTATTTATTCAACCAAGATTTAGGAAGTTCTGAAGATGTGCTGCCACCGCCTTAAACTGTGAGGGTAAAGCACAAAATAAAAGAGATAATCTAACACATGTTTGTTGCTTAGATGCTGTCAGAGACTTCAGACCTTGAGAACATATATCCCAGTAGAAATGGCCAGCTGTCCTTGCCCCACACGAAACACAGACCATTGCCACACCACCCAGCATGGCCAGGGCTGTGCAAGCCAGACACTTACACTGCTGACCCTTTCCGAGAGGAGTCCAAACTTCTGCTCAAAAAACCAAAGGGAAGTAGAGCGAGGATAGATTATGAGAGCAGAAGACAGTTGTTAATTGCCACAGGAAAACACAGACAGTGTTTGACAGAAAGGAGTCTACCCGGGAAAGTGACGCAAACAGACCCACATCATAAAATGATGAATCACTGTCAATGGAGAAAACCAATCCTTCAGGGAACTGTGGGCTAAAAAGCAGTTCCTATGTCACTTCTTAAAAGGAAGCCATTTTAAGATAAGGTTAGGAATGGGTCCTGAGTGGTCTTGCACAGACAATTACTAAGGGGTATTTTCTCACACATCCCAAGCACAGCCACCTGGTGTTGCTGGCTGGACCCAGCCCGGTAGGATTCTTGCCCTCAGGGATTTCTCTTTTATTTTTACTTCCCCTTGTTCCCCTTCATTTCCCTCTCATTAGATCCCTATTTCTTCTTTTTCTCTTCTGCTGGTGCTTTAACCTCACTCCTTGCAATCTCAGGGAGGGACTGTTCTTCACTGGCAACTGGCAATCACACCCTCAGGCCCTAACAAGCTGCCAGCAGTCTGGGCACTGCACTCTCTCTTCCTACCCCTTAAATTGTGTGTTCTTCTTGTGTCCTTGACCTTGAGGGCTGGCAGCTCAGCACTGGAATTGGGAAACCACCCCTTCACGTGCATCCAGCTTCCCATGTTTGGACTGTTTGGTCAGGAAGATAGGGTCACATTTAGGGAAGTGTGGATTTTTTTTGTCTGCCTGTTTTTAATGTAAGACAGAAAAACTGTCCCCCAAAATTGAGACACTCTAGAAATCCATTCTAGGAGGATTTATACCTATGTTTGAACTGCTAGTCTCTTTCACATCTGACTCAGAAGCCAGCCAAGAGCTGCACACATGTTCCTTGGGTTCTCTTGTGTGGACTGTGAAAGGGATTTCCAATCCATCTGTTTTCTGACTCTAAACACTTCCAGGCACCCTCAGGCCCTCTCGATAAATAAACATCACCTCTTTCTTGTACAGGGAGTCAAAACATCTGTCAGGCAGCCTATTCTGAATTTCGGGTCTTTGCCCTATCCCCATTCTCACTCTACGTCATTCACAGAGCTTTAAAAACAATAAAACGACTTGACTGAATCTTCCATGACTTGGGGGGATGTCAAGCTTTATTTTTAAGTTTTGATTGGCATGGTTATTTACCTCAGCAAAGTAAACAGGGAAGTTTCCTCCCTGTTGTATTGCCACAACTGGAGCACGTTATTAATAGTGATAGCAATAAAAACTCAATTGGCATCAGTATTAGTGTTTGAGTCTTTAGCTGCAAAGACTGGAAAGTGCAGTGACATTTCTGGCACAGAATTGTTCCATCATTTTGACCAGAATCTCTGAAGTCTGCCTTCCCAATTGTAGCCTAGTACTGCACAGTTCCCGGAAAGAAACTGACTCCTGGTCATGTCAACTGGTTTGACTTCTACAGTCATCCCCCAGTGTTGACAAAGTTTTGCATAATTGCTAGTGTATTCTACTTCAGACTGCCATCACCCTTGTCATTTGCTTAGCAGTGAAAACTCATCTTTTATTACGCATATAATATCTACAACCAAAAGCTTATCAAGCAATTTATATGTATGTAGCAATCGCCAGCAAATAAGATGCAAAGTCTAGAGTTCATTAACATACAATTTATAAACTGCTTGTCTCAAAACCCAGCCATCCTGGGAAGACAGAATTGCAAAGAGAAGGGACTCGCACTGGGTCCCTGCACTGGGTCATTGGACTTCCCTGGGTGGCTCTGGCAGGAGCACCAAGTGGGGTGGTGGAACGGCCCCCGGCCCGAGGCGCTGCAGGTCAGAGCCCTGTATGCCCCACAATGCTGGAACCTCAGCGCTGCGCCCTTTTCACCCCAATCCAAATTCAGTTATTCTACAGGCCTTTCCAGTCGCTCCCGGGCTTCCCTCAGGATCTAGGCTGTGTGCCTTCTCCTTCAGGCGGTGGCTGCGCGCTGCAGCGCGGGCGGATGTGTGGCAGAGCGTGGGGAAAGTGTGCTCGTGTCGCTGGCTGTGAATACCAGGGAACGGACGCACCAGAGGTTGCCACGTACCCTCTGGCACAAAGCGCTCAGAAAAGAGCAAAAACATAACCGAAACAATAAAGAAAAGAAGAGAGCAAAGGGAACTAGGAAATCAGCGCGAGGGGACTCCGGAGCTTGGCCAGCAGAGGCGCCTCGCGGTAGCCGGGCTCCCCAGGCGCGAGCGGGTGGACTTGGAGCCCAGGCGGCTGCAGTCACAGAAGTGCAGTGGCCGTGAACCGACACGAGGACACCAGAGGGCGGCTTGGATGACACGTCCGCTGGCAGGTCTGCGTGAGCTAAGCGTTTACCTCCTTGTCCAGGCTCCTTTCCTGCCTCGGCGCCCGAGTGGCACTCTCCGCGGATATTTGCACACGTGCCAGATTCTTTAGCTCACAGCCAGGGACTGGGTAGGTCGAGCCTCCCCCGGACGAGCTGTGGCTCATACCAGCCTCGAGGACTGCGACGGGCAGGAAGCACAGAAAGGGAAAAGAGTCCCCGGAGGCGCACAGAGACACACGGGGTGTGTGCCCCGCTCCTGGTCGACAATCAGGGAGGATTTTCAGCACTGGTGCGCTGTGCTAGGCGAGCTCCGTGGACTCCTCAGGGGCCACCCTAAGGGCGCCAGGAGGAGCGCACAGGTGGAATTTCTGGGACTCCTGCTCACCACCGAGTTTGGACAGCACCTCGCTGTCTGAAAGCCACAAGTTAACCGCGATTGCTCAGGTCCCCGTGTGCGTGCGGTCCGCCTGGGACATTTGAAGCTCAGGTTCTCCCTCTCTATGGCCCCATAGTAACCTGAGGTGGTTCGGGACCCACAGTGATTTGATGGCAGAGATGCCCTCAAGGGCCGCAGCGGCTAAGACTGGAGCCCCGTCCCCAGCAGCGGTGGACGCCAGCCTAGTGCACCCGGAGGACACAGGACAGCGTCGCCTAAGGCTTCTTTCGCTTTTGTCCTAGAAACCTTTCCCCATCTTTATTCCCCCTGCAACCTTGGCCGCTGTCCTCGGGCCCAACACTGAAGCTCCCTCCAACGCCAAGGGGCTGCTCAGAAGGCGCAGTCGGGAGCCGGGCTTCCACCCCAAAGCGCACACGACACGGTCAGACCTCAGGAGCTTCGGGGACCAGGGGCAAAGCTCTCCCGTCTTTCCGGTGAGGGAATCTGAGGAGGGCGGTCACAGAGAGGGGGCTGGTGACAGCAGAAGGGATGTCACGCTGGAGCAGGGAGCGACGCTGGAGCAGGCTGCTTTCTCCACGTTCCGCCGAACCCAGTGACCCGCGTAATCGCCCCCACGCCCCACACTGTTTTTCCTTTTCCATTCTTTCCAAACCCACCATCGTTGCCCTCATCTCTCAAACCCCGGCAGCGAAAGTTTCCTTTGGAAAACCTGCAAGTGTGAGGGTCTCCCTCCAATTCCCCCTAACCCAGACTTCTCCGTACCGGGAGGAGCCCGATTTGCCGGGGCCCCGGAGTGGGCAAGCGAAGTGGGCAGCGCGGCGCCCTTACCTGCCTCCGTGTTGGCTTCGGGTCCACCCTGGCTGCGACTTGGTGGCGGCTGGGGGAGCGAGGAGCCCTGCGCGGGTTCGGGATCGACCCGCCCGCGCGCGAGCTGCGCACCGCTTAGAGTCCGAAGCCAGGCGCTGGCTCGCTTTCTCCCTTGATCTTGGAAGAGAAAAGGAGATTAGTTGGTGCTGCGAAACTAGAGGGGTGGGGCGGGCGAGGCGGGGTGACGCGGGACCCAGAGGCTCGGTGAGGGCTGTGGGGCTCGCTGGCATGCAGAGTCTCGCACCCCGCGCGGTTGCCAGCGCTGGGCTGGTCTGGGACCGGTGGTGGAGAATCTGAGAGTTCAGTTGCCCCTGGCCCCGCCCTCTACGCCAAACTACAGAAGGAGAAGCAAATAGGACTTTCAAACCTGGCATACACGCAGAAGAGCCTGGAGACAAAAATAGAACCGAGACCTGGATACAGCGCCGAGCTGGGCGGGATTCATTGCTTCACCAAAGTGCCGAGAAGTAGTAATTAGTGTGTGTGGGGTAATACTTATTCCAGTGCCTCTGGAGATTTCCTAGGGAATCTGTGACTTCCAAGCTCCAGCCAACCCGCAGACTGAGTGTGTGTGTGTGTGTGTGTGTGTGTGTGTGTGTGTGTGTGTGCTCGCGCGCGTGTGTGTGTGTTCGCTTCAGAAGCGGGTCTGCTAACCCAGGTGCCTCGGGTAACAGCAGGAGAGCGGGTCTGCTGCCTTCGTGTGTGTGTGTTCAATTAGCTGCAATGGGCGGACAGTTTCTGGAGAGAACATTTACAATTTTCTTTCAGTATGACAGGATTAGTCGCCGTGGAAGGAGCTCCTCCAATGAAATCTTGTCTGCTTTCTGATTTGGCGGTTCTTCCGAGCAAACGCGACAGCCTTTTCTCCTGGCTCTTGCTCTTGTCTGCTTCTCTCCGTGTTAGTCCCCACAGCCCAACTCTCCACCTGCAATTTCTACATCAGAACCTTGGTCATCACCACTACCACCACCACCACCACCCCTAAGTCCCATTCCTGCGAGTATGCTTTGGCTACAAAGGTCCTACCATGGGACGAATGCAGTATTGCTGGTTGATCATGGAAGACACTTAAACCCAGTTTTTCCAGGTGGGAAAATGTTAGACTAAATGCACTAAGATTTGTAGTAAATATATAATCATGCTGAACTATTCAGATTATTTATTTGTTTGAGAAGTTACCAGATGAATTAGAAGGAGTTTTCATTTTGTTTGCTTTGGCTTCTTGTTTCACACAAGGTTCAACTAATGCGAAGTACACTGCAAAATGTGTACGGCGCTCTGGGGGAATTTGTGATGTCCATGTTAAAAAAAAAAAAGACTGAATGGAAAGTTCTTTTGTGTGTTCTGGCCAGCCATAGGCTTTTATTTCTTTGTTTTAATGAGTAATTCCTTCTAAACATTGCACCCATTGTTTTTTTTAATTAATTTTATTGAGTTTATTGGTACATTTTAGGGATACAGTACAGTTACATTCATTGTTGGGATCATGTACCTTTACATGGCAAGTCTTGATTCTCATTTTTTCCCCTTACCTCTGCCCTCCCTTCACCCCCTCCTCCCCTCCCCATCTACAAACACTTTATTTTCATCTTTTCATTCTCTCACATTTTTTTCTTTTCCCTTTTTGCACCCATTGTTTTTAAGTGCTAACCTCATTTGATAAAGATACAGTAATATGATTATTCTCAAGTATAGCTGATAGCAAGACTTGCTTTTGTAAAAGTGTATGCGTACATGAAGGTAATATTAATATGTGATAGACAAGTTGCATTTTCTTTCATCTAACTTAATAAAATGAAAAATAGTTGAAATCTTAAAGTGAGGGACAGAATGGGGCTTTTCATCTTTTAGGTCACAGAGATGGCAACGACCAATAAATTAATTTAACATATCCAGATAAATTCATTTCAATTCTTGGTTTTCAGGCCTTAGCAAACATCCCTGTTCTTGTTCTTTATATGCTTCTAACTTTATTGGTAAGGGAGGACACCCAAATGAAACACTTATATAGCAATTGACAATCATGATTAATATACAGCAATACAGATTCATTGATGAAAAGAAATCTTGAAAATTTCTGCCCTTTCTGGTAACTCAAAGCTATTTCAAAGCAGAACTCGACACTAGCTTGATTCATTTGATTAAAGATATCTTGATGTAAAGTTTCACAAAGACTCCTCTCTACCTCCAGTATCCACACTCACACCCTATCATCACTGGGAGGTGAGATCCTTGTTAAAAAAAAATTAAAAAACAAAAACAAAGACATCTCTGTTCTGTCTGGGTCTTGGCTTCCCCCAACATTGGGTTCATGCCACTGAGCATTTGAGCTTGTTATTTTTCTCCCTTAGTTGGTCCTTTGAAAATAAATTCACAGTTCCATTCTCTATTCCATTGTTTGTCTTCTAAGCTTCCATGACATTGCCTAATTAATTTTGAACACACAAACACACACACACACACACACACACACACACACACACACACTGAAACAAAAACAACAAAAAAAAGAGGATGGATTCATGACCAGCAATAGAGAAGAAAATCCAGTGATTTGTTGATGTTTTGTTCTCTTTCACATTATTAATACTCTCTTAGTAATGGGCTACCAATTCCTAAAAATAAATAGTCAATGAAATCTAACAAATACCTTTCAAGGTTCAATAAATCAAAATTTAAAATAATATATTGAATAGACATCATTGTCCATAAGGCATTTTGGAAGGAGCTGCAAACTGAAACAGCAATTTTAGCATATAATTATCAATGATTTTCCTCTCCAAAGCCATGACAGAAAAGCAGTCTGTTAAACATACTTGTATATCTGCCCATTCATTGTATTTTCAGAGAAATTATTGAACTACTGTTTACCTCAGTCTCTTAACCTATGAAATGGGTACAGTAATATCTATTAAGGGTGTTTTAAGTAATGATAGAATAGAATAATTAATGAAAAGCTCTCAGTTGAATGACTGGCATATGAGGAATTAGTTATAATTATGTCAATTAAGATTTAAAAAGAGAAGGCTGGGGAATTAGCTCAGTGGTTCTGCTGCCTGCTTTGTAAGTGCAAGGTCCTGAGTTTGACCCCCGGTACCCACTATCCCCCAAAAAAATATTTTAAAAGAGAGAAAAAAGAGATTTGAAAAGAATCCAAGGGTGGTGACACACACTTAGTTACTCAGAAGGATCAAAAGTTCCAGGGCTGGCTGGGCAATATAGTGAGGCCCTATCTAAAAATAAAAAGGGACTGAGGATATAGCTCAGCTGTAGAGCACTTGCCTAGCATGTGCCTGGCCCTGGTTCAACCTCAGTACTGAAGAAACATTTTAAATTTAGGTTCCTGAGTCACACCTGTGGCTTACTGAAACAAATATTTAACAGAGAGTCTTGTCAGTGGAATCGCTCTGCTCATGCACTTCATGGGATGAGCATGTTAAACATGACCCATCATAAAAATGACCATAGGGGACACCATTTCTCTCCCCTTCTAGTTTCTTTCTAGGCAAGGAAGTGTTTTTGAGTATTTCCTTCATGTCTTAAGCAAGTTCTCTTTCTGAGATAAAAGAGTGCTCCTTCACCCCAGGAATATAGCATTTACATTTATTAGTAACTCTTGGTGTGGAACATTTTCAAAAGTGCCGTTTAAAGACTTTGTAGAATGCATCTATGGGTTTTCCTTTATCTACATGCCTATTTTCCACCTCAAATAACTCTGATAAATTAGTAATTTCCACTTGTAAGCCAAACCTCATTACTCCTGCCTTATGACACTAGTTTTAGTCAGGCACTGAATTGTTCTGATTCCTGCAGGGATGACTTTGAAACTTCAATAAAGTTTGCTTTTGAATAAGACTGTAAATAAGGTCATCACTAATTTGAAGGGAAGGAGACAAAGGGTCTCATTCTTAGGACAGTGGTGCATATTTTATTGTGTCACTTGATTTCAGGGTAGCAGTAATTAGGCTTCAATAATTAGGTGCATAAATCCATACTCTTTTATTTTAAGTAGATTAAGAGGCTGACAAGTTCCATTCTATTGATTTCCCACCAGGTATGGTGACCATAGTTTTTTTTTTTCCCCTGCATTTTAAAGGAAATGAAAATACATAAAGGTGAAGCTTTGCTTGTACAGGTAAAATGAGCCAACACTGGGCAATCTGGCCTGGTCCTTCATCCCTCATTCACTGAAGCAGCCATTCAAGAGCTGATCTAGAGAATCACAGGATTTAATCAGCAGAAAGTTTGGGAAAGCTTGATTGGTTTTTGCCAATGAAACTTTTCCTTGACCTTGGTTTGAAATATATCAATCCTGGGCTCAAAGCACATGTTCACTAGATGCCAATTACTGCTTAAAATGGATGCTTCAGTATTCCTCACTGTTTTGAAACCTTAATAATAGCCTCATAATAGACATTGCTATTTTTCTTAGAGTTACTTATTTTTCCTACAAACCTTCCCAGAGAGTAATTTAAAAGCTTCTATTTTCTAGCTAGAAAAGATGATCTCTTTTTCTTTTAGAAAATCCTAGGCTTTTCTTTTTCAAATTCCGCAATAGAAGTTTGCATATACAAATGGGACTAATTTTGAGTGACAATGTTTAGTGACAGTCTGACAAACAATGCTTTGTTATTTTTTTCTTTTCCTTTTTCTTGAAGTTTGGCATCACAGATGTTTTCAACTCTTCCGGTCTTAGCAGTGGTAATGTTATCCAAAGCCTGAAAACATTGACTGCTGGTGAGTTTAAAATATTTAAAATACAGAGCTCTCTTGCAGACAGGGAATATTAAGAAGGGGGAAATAGCAGGGGAAGAGGGAGGGAGATCACCCTGCAAAATGCTAAGCAGCTTCAATGATGATAAATCGGTGTTAAGTACACCAAGGAAAGACCATGTGGGATACATTTTGTGTACAGAAGTTTGTGGGTATGTGTGTGTGTGTGTGTGTGTGTGTGTGTGTGTCTTTAGGAGGTAGATTGGAGAGCTTCTTCAGAGAACTTCTATGACAGAGCAAACATAAAGTTTTAACAACATCTATCTCCAGGTACATTTTGACAAAAAACTTAAATTTCTCCCTCTTGGTTAGATGATAAACTCTCTTGTGGAAGAGATAAATTGTAACAAGTTCAAAGTGCAAGTCTTATCAGAATCTTCTATATGCATGAGGTCCCAGATTATTTGATTCAATAATTCTTTGTAATTAAAAGAGTCATTCAGGAATACCTAAGCATCTTCTTGGTCTGTAGGGAAACCTGCTCTTCTTAGAACTTAGAGTGAACGGATTACTTTCTCATGGGAACTCACATAATTTCTCAGACCATATTATGTACTAGGTTCTTAACCTAGTGAAAAACAACCCTTCATGGGAAAGCTGGAAATACTGACCATTCAAAAGCTTCCATCCTGGGAGTAATCATGAAATGTGACAGTTTCCACACTACATTTGATCTAGCCTCTGATTTTTAAGAGTGAGATAATTACAATGCAGAAAGTAGCATTTTTGCCTAGCAGGTTTTAGGTTTGTGTGACTAGTGATATCACTTTATGTAGATCATTTCACTTGAAAAACAGGCTGTTTCTCCTAATAACATGCATAAGGATGTATTCACTAATACATTACCTCATGTAGTGTACCTAATAAGATGTATCCTGGGCATTTTGGTCTTTATTCCTCGTTCAATCATCGAGGAGACTAGGTGTTGGGCTCAAGGACCTCATTTGCAGAGTTTTAAGGATGACATTTGATAAATCCCCAAGGCCCGAGGCACAGTCAATGCATGTACACTATTCCTACAAAGATTTTATTGACAAATCTTTTCTTATAAAGGCAGTTAATTTAAAAAGGATGCCTAAAAAGCATGTAGTTGTAATCACTGAATGCCTTTAATAACAACCACTCAAAACCTGCCCTTAGAACTTTGCAGCTGGCAGAATGTACACTCCTTTTACTGATGCCAGCATATGGGGTAGACAGCTTCTTTAGCTTAATGCCAATCCCCTGGAAATATTTCCTTCTTGAGTAAGTCTCATGTAAACAAACTGCCATTCATTGCTTTCCTTTCCTTTTACAATGCTCTGAATTTTAGAGGGTGGTTCTAAGAATACCAGTTGGAACCTGTAAAAAGTAGAGTCTCTGGGAAGCCTAACATAGACTGAATTTGAAATGTTGGGATTGGTTCAACAGTGCCTATATAGCATTCCATATTCTCTTAGCTATTAGGGCTGTAAAAAATAAAGAAGGATTCCTGCTTCGCAGAAGCTAAAGATCTAATTGGAGTGAAAAATAAAACATAAACAAAAATATTCTTGGATAAAATGTTTTACATAACCAAAGGTTCAGAAAAGAACTTAATGCATCCACATCAGTGGGTTGTTTCTGACTTAAACTCAACCTAGGATTTAGAAGTTATGACAGGTTAAATCTTACAGACAAAGCAGTCCAGTGATGAAACAATACTTAAGTATTTAAACCAATCACAAGAAAGGTACTGTTAAAATCAAAGACATTATCAATGACTATTAAGCTGCTGATTTATAGCATTTATGCTGGTCAGAAGAGAACCTGAGTAATTGAGTGACATGTTTAATTTCCAGAGCTAGTTAATGGGAAAGTCTATGATAGGAGAGGAGCACTCCTATGCTCTTTGCCCAGCATGCAGTATTTAAAGATGTGTCTCCAGTCTATCTGTAGTTTTTTTTTCTATTATTTTTTTAAAATTGTGTACTGAAATAAATAAGCTGACCATGAACTTACTGAGCTTTGAGTGTCTCTGGAACATGGACATGTCTGTAATTTCTTGAGAAGAAAACTGTTGGTTATGGCTGTTAGGGCTGATTCTAATTATGTAATGACACTGGAGAAGGGAGTAATATAATGAGTGATCAAAGTATGTGGTGAGTGCATAAAATTTAAAAATTACAGTAAAAAGGACACATTTCCATTAATCACCCTCAAAGCACTCCATCTTGCATTGAATGCATTTCTGTCATCATTCTTGCAACTGTGAAGCAGTTCTGGAATCTTTCAGGTCTTTATGAGGTTTTATAAAAAATATAGTTAATGCTACTGGAGAGCACCATCCAGTGAAAAGGCAAGCTTGGCTGGTTAAAAGAGTACCTTGTGTCCTCCTCCACCTGACTCACCAGACTGGTATGGTGAACCTTCTGATTCTTCTCCAGTGTGAAAATGGTCATGAAAGATAAATGTTCTGAACTGATCAAGACTTCGAGGCAGCCATGACAGTGTAACTGGAGAGGCTCAGAAAGGAAGACTTCCCAAACTGCTTCAGAAAGTGGGAAGAATGATAGAAAAGTAAGTTCAAAGTGAGTGAAGTATCCCGAGGGAAATTTAGAACAATATGTCTTTTCCTGTAATAATTCTTCATACATTTAAAACATTTCTTCTTTTAAACATTTGTATTTTCTATCATATCTCTTATAATTTAGAACTGGAATGTGGTTTCTGTCCCCAGAATGAACTTAAAAAGAAAAGAAGCTCATTTTTGAGCCTTATCTTTTGCCTTCAGTTTGCTAGCTTATCCCTGGGAATGTTCTCTTGGGTTTCTATGGGTCTTGCTCCAGAGCTGGGCAACAGTTATAAGTGGGGGATGAGAAAGGGGAGAGATGTAAACTTTCAACATGACAGTAAAAAATAAGCCACCCAGATCCTAAGAGTGATACTGGAGAGGAAAATCCTGTTGCTTCATCTCAATGGCACGCTCACCAGGACAATGTGAGGAAAGGTGCAGAAAATAGAAGACTTGGAAGACACAAATAATAGACTTGCTTGTGTTTATTTTTGATGGTTTTTGTTTGTTTTTTGGTGAGATGGAATTCAAAATTCAACAAAGTTATGTTCAGGCTGATGACTGATATTGACTGATTTAAATTTTTTGGCAGTTGGCAGGTAATTAAATGACAGTGTAAGTGACATATTTCTCTGTATCAAATTCCAACTACTTCCACTCATTATGTTTCTTTCTTAATTAAAAAAATACATATTAGAGGGATATAGAGCCACGTGTAGCTAGAAACAAGGAAAGTTTCAGGAAGGAAATTAATCCTGTTCCCACAAATCACACCAGTTAATTATATAGTTAGTATATTAATTACATGTATCATGACCACAGTTGAAAGAGTCATTGATTAATGTCTCCCTTTCTTTACTTTTGTAGATGCAACAGCTCCTGATGAAAAATATGAAATCAAGGTGCCCCCGATCTTATATGACTCTTAAAAATGATACATACAATTTCTCTTCTAAAGCAAAGATGCCTGTCTTTCCTCACAGAAAATGCAGAACTCCAAGAGTTGCTTTCCTCCAGCTTCTAGAGCCATGAGCAGTGGTATCTTTATTAATAACTAGTTTGAAACCTTAGCTCATAAGTATTTTCTGATAGCAAAACAATACAGACTAACTCCCTACCAATATATGCATTTATAGAAGGAAATCAAATTTTCCTGCTGACTGCCTAATTCAGGAATGTTCTCATATTTTAAACATTTTTGTCCTTAATCATTCTCTCAGGGCCAACCAGTACTCTGTTTTTATGCACCTAAAAAACTGATTAAAGTCTCACCAGATCAACTTAACTCCACATTCTTACATCCTAAATGTTTTGTGTTACCTTATGCATAGACTCCTCCTTAAATTATTTCTGGTCTGAGCCAAGATTTGTTGTCTTCTGAACCAACTATCATTTTTCACCGGAGTGTGATTTCTGTAGCCAACGTGTAAGCATAGTGGACTCTTCCTCGATGGTCAAGTCATTTTGTTTAAGAATATTCAGTTTCAACTCCAAGTGATCAGATTAATTGCTTGCAGCTTGAATTACAGAGGGCATTTCTCAAGATTTCACCACATATCATGAGGGTCATTCTCATGGATAACTTAAAACTCATATTTAAATGTGAGTGGTGTTTGCTGTTGAGCTTCTTACTCAGGCCAGATACAACTGCACACATTAACATAAAAATATTATTCATATATGACATGAAATTCCTTATCAATTAGAACTTTTTTACTATAACTCATTAGAGGAGAGTTGGATAGTGAAAATTGACAAATTTTATTGTATTTGTATTCTATTATATCCTTTCTCCTTTACAGAATTTATGACTGACATTTTTGTTTGTAATCTGGGACTATCCAGAGTGAAGGTAACTTATGAACTAAGGGGAAAGCATACACTTGAAAGGCTAACAAAGAGAGTAAAATAGAACTAAGTTGGATATGTGATTGCATCCTGTAGAAAAAGGTATTAGAGGGAGGGAAGTAATTATGGGAAATTCCTCTACCAAATGAAATTTGATGTCCTGACACTCATGATCCAATTAGTACAATTAAAAACCAGTTCCCTATATGCCAACACTACAGTATGCCAATGGGATTCTGAGAAACTAAACTAGGGGCTGTCAGGAAAAAGACACTGAACCACCACTGTTTTGTGCTCCTTAATCTGGTAGAAGATAGAGCCTGTCTCTTGGATTGAACTGAAAGTTTTCAGGTTCTCAAATGCAGCTTATACTCATTCTACTTAGCTCTTAAAGAGAGTATTTAAAACAATAAGAGTTCTAAAACAACTTCTATTTCTTTCTTTTTGTTCAGTTTTCCCCTTGTGTAGTGGCTGTTCAGTCTCTTTACCAACCTGATGGCACAGACAAAAATAATACTCAAAATGGTTTGGTGGTGTTGTGAAAGAGTGAGGACAGAATTGAGATGTCCAGCAGTTTAGTTGCTAAGGATGGGAAATAAGAATCTAATACCCAAAACCAGTGTGCCATGGTTTCTCTCAAAGGAATCTGTGGTGAACCATAAAAATGAATCTAAATGCTTCATTAAAGATATAAATAGCATCTTCCATGCCTGTTTTACAAAGCACAGCACCGCTAGGAAGACAGCATATTTTAAGCACTTCTGTGTGACTGTGTATAAACATGCAGAGTATTTGTTTAGCTTTCAGTTAGCCCTAAAGAATAAAAGCAGCCCTCTAGCAAAGATAATACTTCATAATACAATTCCAAACAACATAGATTTGAAAATGAATGATTATTTAAGGGTAGATCTCAAGTCTCCATTTACCTTCTCCTAAATCTTTCCTACCATAACAGATGTTTACATTTTTCTCAACAGTGAGCATCTTGACTCATTTTAAAATAACCCCTCCAATGTGTCTATTCATATACACATATCTATGAAGTAAGAAGATGTTCAAATGGAAAACTTAAACTTCTCAATAAAAAGATGGACTTTCTGTGGACAGTGTTTACCTGTTGCAATGGTGTGAACAGGGACTACTCACCTACCACCTCCATCGGGCACATCGGTTTCTTTTAATGAGGTCACTGAGAGCAATGGAGTACTCCTTCCTCACAGCACACCTTTTCAAGAGTGCTCAGTTGGCCAACATCAGAGATTAACTTATTCTACACTTTCATCCTACCTCAGTACTGCAAATTAATGACTTAACCACTTGATGGATTTGTTATAATTTCTTCACAAAATTACCTGTGTTCCTAAATGGAATACAACAGGAATGTCAAGTAGAAAATACTCTGGATCCAAATTTCAATTTTGAATTATAAGTTACTTAATTCATCCATGTCTGATTTTCTTTACCTCTTTTAAAGGGCAATGAGTCCATCCTAGCTCCCTAAGAGATTCTAGATAATTAAAATATTTAGATATTTCACTGTTAATGCATATATAGCAAATGACATATGTTCAAATATGTGTTTCATATATGTATTTATATTTTCATGTGCATATGAAAATTGAGAGAGAGAGAGAAAAAACAGTTATTCATCATTTTCCTTCAATCAATTTTATCATGGTTTTATAATCCGAAATTTTTTATTTACCATTTTTGATGGACAGAATAATCTCTCCACAAATATGTTCATTATAATCCCTAGAACATGTAACTTTATTATCATACAAGGAGAAAAAAGAATTTAGAAGACAAATAGAATAAAGAGTGCCAGCCAGCCAACCTCAGGTACAGACTTTATCTTTCATTATTCAATTGGGCTAGATGTAATCACAGCCAGTCTTAACAATGGTTTTGAAGTCTAATGCGGTATAATATGGGAAAATGGCAATTCACAGCTTAGAAGATGAAAGGGTGAAGAGGTTATGAGCCTAGAAACATAGGAAAACTCTAGAATTTGTGTTTTACAAGACAACAGATTTTCTCTTGGAGCCTCCAGAGGGAACTCAGCATGTTATCCATTGGATTTAGCCCATGGAGTCAGGTCAAATTTCTGGATGAAGAACTATGAGACAATCAGTTTCCACGGTTTTAAACCAAGTTGTGGAAATTTGTTGCATCTGCCATAGAAAGCAAATATATTACGTTTCTATTTGTTTCACAGAAACCACATGCTTAACATTGATTTCATTTATCCAAATTTCCAGATGGGTGTTTTATGTTAGTAGTAATATAATATAATTATTACTAGTAACATAATTAGTTAGTAGTAATATAATTGTTCCAGGTATTGTGGACCGAAGTTTCGTTGAAGTACAGTGACTGCAATCTCAGGGCAGTAAGAGAGTCAATACATTTTTGAGAAAGCAGTTTATTCATACCAAATATTCAGCACTACGGACAGTTCAGTCATAGCTTGCATTTTAAAATCAGTACCTTGGAGAGAGGACAAGGCACTGGTTCCTAGCAGAGTATCAGGACAAGACCAAGTATTTAATTATTCTTTGCCAAGACCCCTCGGACCTCTCAGATTCGGAGAGTGACTGTACTGATCATAACCTAAGAAGGGACTGTAAATAGCCTCTGAAATAGCTCTGGTATGAGCATCAAGTTCCTTCTTCTGAGCTTTGCTAAAGCTGGTTGGAGTTTATCTTTGACCCAATGCTGCATTCTGCAAGCAGTGTCTGAATTTTCCACTTCTGAATTGCCTGTTTTCAGGTTTCCCATCTGCTAGTCTCAGTCTCTGCCTCAAATCACACAGTGATTCTCAATTATTCATCTTTACAATTCAGCAATGCATTTCACTTAAAATAAAAGCAAACTGGGCTCACTACCTGATTTTGCTTGAGCCTAATAAATTACCATGCATTATCCAGTATCTCACTGAGTAGACATTGTTTAGTTACTGCCTACCAGGTGCCATGCAAGGTCTATATGCTAGAGATAAATATTGACTAGGATAAAATACTGAGTTTTGGGGGTGGCCTCTTTGAAAAAGAGGAAAGCAGTAAATAACCAAAAAATAGGTAACATGACATAACATGAAATGATTATAATACTATAAAATAAAAAAGTAAGTAAAGATACTGTTCTGGTTAGATATCATAAACTTTCCCAAATATTTCTAATTATCCCTTGTTGCAGTTCCAACATAGGTTTGTGGTTGTTGTGAGATGGAGCTGTGTGATAAGTTTCTGTGAAACATGAATGGCATCAATAGTTCTCGCGCTTGAACATGAAGTTACTGATATGAGAGCCTTCTAGGCTTTTTGTTCTGATACTAAGACTCTAGGAGCCCTGCAATCTGGAGCCATGATTGACCAGCATGAATATGCAGTGGGAATGTGAAATAAAACTTTGTTGCCTAAGCTACAAGTACTGTTCTCTTACATATTATTTTATTCTGATTGATTCTGATAGTTTGGGAAGTCATGGCACTCAGAATCTCAAGTTGCAGGAGATAGTACATGATGCTGTTCTTACTTAGTAAATAAGATATGCTATATTCAGGAGTAGGAATATTTCAGAACAGCAAGATTGTGTGACGGCTTTGAGACAGGCAAAATACAAGACCTAAGACAACTCCACAAACTCTGAAACTAATTTGAGCAAGGATCATAGATCCAAACAGTGCCATTTTTCTCATCCTATTTCTTTCCAAATAATATTTCATTTCTTCACTCACTAATATTAATTCTGAAAAACATAGCAGACATTAAAACTAGTATCTGAAAGTCTTATAAATCCAACTCTAGACATGCAGCTAAGGGTCTACCTTATTCCTCATCTGTACAATTATTTTATTCATTTTATACCACTATCTTTACACCCGATCTGAAGTTCTCATATTTTTCTTCTTAACCTTGGGAACAATGCTTAGGAGTCTCTGATTCATTATGATCTCATCAGATTTCATTTAATCAATAAATATTTATAAGAAATCATAATATTCTTAATCTGGACAGTACAATGGAGATATAATTTTGAAAATATGAAAATACAATATTAAGCAAATGATCAAATTCAATGGAAAATTACAACTATGATAAATGTGGCATTGTGATGTGGTGTTGCTTTGAGGATATGCAAGAGAAGGATCAAAATCT